CTCCAAAATTTAAAAACAAAACGTGTTTTTTTTTTAAAGAAAGTAATACCATTTCTAATTCCAAGAAAAAATAACTCATCATGACTTGAATTTCAGAGAATAGCAATCAACCCTTTTTTTCTTTTGAAACTTTCCTCAAAGAAATGCGCCACTAAAACTGCAGTTTCTCATTACAGTTAGAAAAATTCAAATAAAAGCGGAACCCAGAAATAAAACCTTTCTTTATAAACTCCAACAAAAAACCCCGGAACCCTTAAATTCGGGCAGAAGTTGAATGTTCTAAATATCTACCAGTAAGTTTCAACAGCTCGTAAAACGATGGCATTACCCGCCATTTTTATTATTTTTGAGAACTCTTGCTTCTCGTAAAAGGCCTGGGCATCTGCCTCGTTTGTTTGTGTCTATCAGAGTTGCGGAATTTTATCTGTTGTTGGCAGTTTGCTTGATTTTCGGGCACCGCGATTTATTTCCGCGGCGCATATAAAGTTTCCCGAATCTCGACTCTGCGATTGGAACAACCGCTTCGACCTGCAGCTGACTCGAACCAATCATTTTCATTAGTTTTTCGATTTCAGAAGCAAAACTTTTATTCGTCTGGAGTGGCATTTCAGAAGTAAAGTAAGGAAGTCCTTTTTCATCGCAAATAGCTGATTTTATTGTGCAACTGTGAGCAAAATTGGATAATTGTTTTCAATAAAAACAGCATTTGACAGAAAATGCCTTATTTTAAAGTATATGTAAAGCAACAAAATTGCTCCAACATCTATAGATATAAAAAGGGAATCCTGGGTGTGGCACGGGTGTTTTTGAGTAGTTCGTAATCCACTTTAAAACTGAAGGTCCCGGTATGTTTAGCCCTCTCGTGCACAAGATGACCGTACCAATATGCGTATGTTTTAGTATAATTTAAAACTATAACAAATAAAAGTTGCATTTTTAAAAAAACAAAAACAAAATTCGAAGCCGGAAGTTAAGAAATAGTTTTTATTTCATTAGATTTTTTCATTGCTTTCAGATTTTCGTACCACTATATGAGGCCATACTGAGAAACTGATTGGTGTCATTAGTTTGGTTATTGTAAAGAATATAAGTATTGTAGTATCGGGATTTCAAAAATAAATTTATTGAGTCCTTTTCATCACAAACAACTGATTTTATTGTGCAAAAATAAGCAAAATTGGATCATTATTCCAAATGAAAATAGCATTTACTTAAAAATTAATTTGCATTTAAAATGCTTTATTTTAAAACTTATTACTTTTAGGAACTAAACTGCTCCAACGTCTATAGGTAAAAAAAGGGATATATGTATATTCCAGCATAATTAAAACATTACAACACATAGAAGTTGCATTTTGTTATAGAAAAAATTCGAAGCCGAAAGTTAAGAAAGAATTTTTATTCTATCCGATATTTTTTTTATTCCACCAAATTTCACACCACAAGTTGACGTTATATTTAAAAAAAACTATTGGTGTCATCTTCCTTGCTTGTCTGTGTCTGTCAGAGTTGCGGAATTTTATTTGTTGTTGTCAGTTTGCTTGATTTTTGGGCAGCGCGATTTATTTCCGCGGTGCATATAAAGTTTCCCGAATCTCGACTCCGCGATAGGAACAATCGCTTCGACCTGCAGCTGACTTGAACCAACCACTTTCATTGGTTTTTCGATTCCAAAGCAAAACATTTATTCGTGTCTGGAGTGCGATTTCAGAAGTAAAGTTAAGAAGTCCTTTTTCATCGCAAATAGCCGATTTTATTGTGCAAAAGTAAGCAAAATTTGATCATTGTTCCCAATAAAAATAGCATTTGACAGAAAATGCTTCAACATTATGCTTTATTTTAAAGTATATTTCTTTTGGCAACAAAATTGCTCAAACATCTATAGTATAAAAAGGGATATATGGTATAAGTGTATGTTCCAGTATAATTAAAAACTATAGGAGTTGTATTTTGTTTCGAAGAAATAAAACCGCAGGCAACAATTTAGAAAGAATTTATTTTCCGTCAGATTTTTTTATTCTACCAAATTTTCACGTCGTCAAAATTTTAACTTCTGGTTTGGTTTGGATAGCCGCTCTACTGTCATTTTTAGCATCTTAGAACTAATTATACAGTGACCTACAGTTTTAAGTGGATTCCGAACCACTAACAAACATCCATACCCCAGCAAGGATTCGAACATGAAGCCTCGGATACCAAAGATCAGACAGCTATCCATTTGGCCACCAAGACGCTGGAGGGGATGAGAGTAGGAAGTCTCCCACATAGTATGTGTGGTAAATCCATTTGAATTTGTGGGAGCAAAATGTGAATATAATGTAACAAACCAAACATGGATCACCCTAGATAATGCTGAATCTACTTTTTTTTTTCATTCTAGCAGCGAACGACGTAGCTCAGAATGCACAGCATTTAAATAAACTTTACAATCAATAAAAATTCTTGTACGAATTCTTGTACTTTAGAGTAAACCAAAACAAACGAGGTCTACCACGATGCAGTATTCGAAATTCTCTGCAAACTTTAAAAACAAAACCGTCATTTTTTTTAAAAAAGAAAGTAATACCATTTCTAATTCCACGAGAAAATAACTCATGTCTGAAATTTCAGAGAATAGCAATCAACCTTTTTCTTTTAAAGCTTTTCTCAAAGAAGCAGGGAAAAGAAATGCTCCAGTAAAACTGCAGTTTCTCATTACAGTTATAAAAATTTAAATAAGAGCGGAACCCAGAAATAAAACCTTTCTTTATAAACTCCAATAAAAAAAAAACGGAACCCTTAAATTCGGGCAGAAGTTGAATGTTCTAAATTTCTACTAGTAAGTTTCAGCGTCTCGTAAAACGATGGCATTACCCGCCATTTTTATTATTTTTGAGAACTCTTGCTTCTCGTAAAAGGCCTGTGCATCTGCCTCGCTTGTTTGTGTCTGTCAGAGTTGCGGAATTTTATTTGTTGTTGTCAGTTTGCTTGATGTTTGGGCAGCGCGATATATTTCCGCGGCGCATATAAAGTTTTCCGAATCTCGACTTTGCGATAGGAACAATCGCTTCGACCTGCAGCTGACTCGAACCAATAATTTTCATCGGTTTTTCGATTCCGAAGCAAAACTTTTATTCGTCTGGAGTGGGATTTCAGAAGTAAAGTTAGGAAGTCCTTTTTCATCGCAAATAACTGGTTTTATTGTGCAAAAGTAAGCAAAATTGGATCATTGTTCCCAATAAAAATAGCATTTGACAGAAAATGCTTCATTTTAAGGTGCTAACCGAGTGACTGGCGTTCTGGCGCTCGGTGCCACAGGTTTCGGGTTCGAGTTCCGGCGGTGGCAGGGATGTTTGTAATGGTTCGGAATCCACCTTAAGCCGTAGGTCCGGTCTCATATGACTGTAGATTATGACGAAGCCATGTCACACTTCTACCTACGGGTGCTCCATCACAACAGAAGCTGCCTCCTTTCGCTTTAACCATGAGTCCATACGGGTTCATGGCCTTGGTGCCAAGATGTCTGCCAAGTGGGATGAGAAACAACAACACAACAATCAATAAAAATGCTAGCAGGCATCCTTGTACTTTAGACCAAATCAAAACAAAAGAGGTATTTTACTAAAAGAAAGAATACCATTTATAAGTCTACCAGAAAATATCTCATCATGTCTGAAATTACAGAGAATAGCAATCAGCGCCTTTTTTTCTTTTCAAGCTTTTCTCAAAGAAGTAGGGAAAAGAAATGCGCCACTAAAACTGCAGTTTCTCATTTAAGTTATAAAAATTCAAATAAGAGCGGAGCCCAGAAATAAAACCTTTCTTTATAAGCTCCAATAAAAAAATCCGGAACCCTTAAATTCAGGCAGAAGTTGAATGTTCTAAATTTCCACCAGTAAGTTTCAGCGGCTCATAAAACGATGGCATTACCCGCCATTTTTATTATTTTTAAGAACTCTCGCTTCTCGTAAAAGGTCTGGGCATCTGCCTCGCTTGTTTGTGTCTGTCAGAGTTGTGGAATTTCATTTGTTGTTGGCAGTTTGCTTGATTTTTGGGCCCCGCGATTTATTTCCGCGGTGCATATAAAGTTTCCCGAATCTCGACTCTGCGATAGGAACAAACTGCGATAGGAAACTTTGACCTGCAGCTGACTCGAACCAATCATTTTCATCGGTTTTTCGATTCCGAAGGAAAACTTTTATTCGTCTGGAGTGGGATTTCAGAAGTAAAGTTAGGAAGTCCTTTTTCATCGCAAATAGCTGATTTTATTGTGTAAAAGTTTGCAAAATCGGATCATTGTTCCCAATAAAAATAGCATTTCAGAAAAAATGCTTCAACATTATGCTTTATTTTAAAGTATATTTCTTTTGGCAACAAAATGGCTCAAACGTGTATAGGCATAAGATTGGATATACGATATATGTGTATATTCCAATATAAATAAAACTGTTATTACACCTAAAAATTCGCACCACGATGGCCAATTGGCTAGCGCTATGGCCTTTCGTATTTCAACTTCGAAACCAGGCAATGGCGTGGTTGTTTGTTAGCGGTTAGAAATCCATGTTAAATTGAAGACGCAGAGAGACAAACCAAAAGCTAGAAGTGGTATTTTGTTCCTCAAAAAAATTTTAAGCCGAGGCTGATAATTTTTATTCCATCAGATATTTTTATTGCCATCAGATGACGTCATACTTAAAAACTCATTGGCGTCGTTAGTTTGGTTATTGTGTTGTTGTCGTTGTTGTTTCTTATCCCACTGGCTGGCCAAGCCCACGAGCCCATATGGACTCATGATTGAAGGGGAAGGAAGCAGCTTCTGTTGTGATGGAGCACCCGTAGGTAGAAGCCTGACTTTTGCTCCGTGACGCTCTTACAGTCATAGTAGATCGGGACCTACGGCTTAAAGTGGATTCCGAACCACTACAAACATCCATGGCACCGCCGGGATTCGAACCCGAAACCTGTGGCACCGAGCGCCAGAGCGCTAGACACTCGGCCATTCAGGTCCCAAATTTGCCAACGACACGCAGTGCTCCCAGGTGGTCACCCACCCAAGTACTGACCGCGCCCAATGATGCTTGACTTCGGTGATCTAACGAGAACCGGTATATTCAGCATGGTACGGCCGTTGGCTATTGTAAAGAAAATAAAGTATCCTAGCATCAGGATTTCAAAACTGAGGTTATTAAGTCCTTTTTCTTCACAAATAACTGACTTTATTGTACAAAAGTAAGCAAAATTGGATCATTGTTGCAAATAAAAATAGCATTTGACAAAAAATGCTTTATTTTAAGTATATTGCTTTTGGCAACGAAACTGTTCCAACGTCTATATGTATCTTTTTATTATTTTTGAGAACTCTGCTTCTAGTAAAAGGCTTGGCATCTGCCTTGTTTGTTTGTGTCTGTCAGAGTTGCGGAATTTTATTTGTTGTAGACAGTTTGCTTAATTTTTGGGCACCGCGATTTATTTCCGAGGCAGCCGATTTTATTGTGCAAAAGTAAGCAAAATTGTGTCATTGTTCCCAATAAAAACAGAATTTGATAAAATTGTTTCTTTATTTTATAGTATATTTCTTTTAGCAACAAAATTGCTCAAATATGTAGGGTATAAAAAGTGATATATGGTATGTATAAGTGTATGTTCCATTATAATTAAAAACTATAGTAGTTGTATTTTGTTCAAAAAAAAAAAAAATCATAGCCAAAAATTAAGAAAGAAATTTTATTCCATCGGATTCTTTATTCTACCAAATTTTCACAGCGTCAAAAATAAGTTGTACTTTAAATTCTGGTTTGATATGGATTGTAGCTCTACTGTCATTTTGAGCACCTTGAGGACAGATTAGAGAGAAACCTACAGTTTAACGTAGACTCCGAATCACCAACAAACATACATGCCACAGCAAGGATTCGAACCTGAAGGCTCGGATACCAAAGGTCAGAGAGCTACCCAGTTCGCCACAAAGCCACAGGAGGGTATGAGGGTAGGAAGCCTCCCACATAATATGTTTGGGATGTCCATTTGAATTTCTGGGAGCAAAATGTGAATATAATATAACAAGCCAATCATGGATCACCCTCGATATGCCGAATCTACTATTTTTCTCTATTCTCGAAGTGAATGCCTTAGCACAAAATGCACATCATTAAAATCAATTTTACAATTAATAAAAATGCTAATAGGCATTCTTGTACTTTAAACTAAACAAAAAAAAAAAAAAAAAAAACGAGGTCAACTGCATTGCAGTATTCAAAATTCTCCGCAAAATTAAAAGAAAAACGTCATTTTTTTTCTTTTTAAATAAAGTAATACCATTTTTAATTCCATAAGAAAATAAGTCATCATGGCCGAAATTCCAGAGAATAGCAATCAGCCAGTTTTTCTTTTCAAGCTTTTCTCAAAGAAGCAGGAAAAAGAAATGCGCCACTAAAACTGCAGTTTCTCATTACAGTTATAAAAATTCAAATAAGAGCGGAGCCCAGAAATAAAACGTTTCTTTATAAACTCCAATAAAAAAACCCCGGAACCCTTAAATTCAGGCAGAAGTTGAATGTTCTAAATTTCCACCAGTAAGTTTCAGCGGCTCATAAGACGATGGCATTACCCGCCATTTTTATTATTTTTGAGAACTCTTGCTTCTCGTAAAAGGCCTAGGCATTTGCCTGGCTTGTTTGTGTCTGTCAGAGTTGCGGAATTTTATTTGTTGTTGGCAGTTTGCTTGATTTTCGGGCAGCGCGATTTATTTCCGCGGTGCATATAAAGTTTCGCGAATCTCGACTCTGCGATAGGAACAATCGCTTTGACTTGCAGCTGACTCGAACCAATCATTTTCATTGGTTTTTCGATTCCGAAGCAAAACTTTTATTCACGTCTGTAGTGGGATTTCGGAAGTAAAGTTAGGCAGTCCTTTTTCATCACAAATAGCTGTTTTTATTTTGCAAAAGTAAGCAAAATTGAATCATTGTTCCAAATAAAAATAGCATTTGACAAAAGTTGCTTTAATATCTATAGGTATGAAAATTGATATACGATCCAAAAAGTAAAATTAATTACCGGAAAAAAAAATTTAAAATTACCGGAGCTTTCGGAATTTCAATTGTTTTTTCTTTTTTAAGTTGATGGTACTGTCCGTGACATTTGCGGGAAATTTGACGTTAAAGTATTCATTAGTGTTTGAGTTACGTTTGATTTTGTGACTAAAAACTGACTTTTAAAGCTAAAGCTGATTCCGGCGATTTTTGTGTCTGAATTAATTGAGCAAAGAACTTGAATTCAATTTTGTTTGCGGAAACGTATAGAATGTTTAAGTGAGCATTCCAATATGGGAACGAAATGTTTACAAGTGGTATAAACAGTGGAAAGACGGCAGTGAACGCTTTAAAGACGAAGAGCTCTCTGGTCGACCATCAACCTCAACCGACGAAGCTCACGTTCAAAAAATTAGAGATTTGGCGCTTTCAAACTTTCGATTTACAATTAGAGACCATGCTGCTGATGTTGGAATTTCAAAAGGATCGGTCAATTCTATTTTGGGCCTGAAACGCGTGAAATCTCGATTGGTACCAAAAACACTGAATAAGCCAACTCACACTGCATTGATTCTTTGTGACTGTTTCGCCAAAAATAAAACCCGTATCGTTCCACAATCAACGTATTCATACCGTGCGACTTCTGGTTATTCCCTAAACTCAAAAGACCACTCCGGGGACACCATTTTGAATCGACTGAAGAGATTCAACGCGAATCGGCGCGCGCTTTGAAGGCCATCGCTGCCGATGACGTTTTAGCATTGCGGATTGGAAATAAAGTTGGCATAAGTGCATTATGTCCGGATGGGATTACTTTCGAGACGATGAAAAACATTTGGAAGAATAAAAGAGGCTTTATAAAAAAAATAATTGGGCGTACTTTTTGGGCACAGTATTCTACCCAGTTTACTATGATTTTCAGAAATCTATTATTCATGATAGACGTGTGTTATTTATAATTAAAAGTCTACATAACATATTTTTAAATTTTCAAAAAGTCATTCTTGTAAAAAAAATAATGTACAATACAACTCAATTAATTTCTGCACTTCATTCTCTAAAGGAAGTAATTATTGTCTCTTCAGATTAATTTACTTGATTGTCCTTTGCCTCTATACCTATCCATTTGGTAGAATGGGTTCTAGAGGGGTCTGAATAGGGTCACTTTAATTATAACCTCCCTGTATAATATAAGTCACTAACGCCGTTTCTCTATTACATTTCATTCTATATTCTATTATTTTTAGAAACCTAATATTCATGATAAACATGCATTATCTATAATTAAAAATGTACAAAACATTTCTTTCAAAAAATTTTCAAAAGTCATTCTTGTAAACAAAATAATGTATAATACAACTCAATTAATTTCTGTACTTCATTCTCTAAAGGAAGTAATTATTGTCGTATTATTATGTCTGTATTTATTTGCTTTAATTGAAAGTTTATTATGTTTAATTATTGCTTTATTTGTAAGTAAATGGTTAATTATTATTTTAATTATTGCTTTAATTGAAAAGTAGAATGTTTGATTATTATTTCAATTATTGCTTTATGGATTATTTCATAATTTTTATTAAAGTTTAGGTTTTCAGTTTATAATTTTTGAAATTAACCCACTAACCATATTTCTTTATTACATTTTAGTCTTTATTCTATGATTTTTGGAAGCCTAATATTTATGACAGACATGTATTATCTATAATTAAAAGTCTACAAAACATTTCTTTCAAATTTTCAAAAGTCATTCTTGTAAAAAAATAATGTATGAAATAACTCATTTAATTTCTGTACTTCATTCTCTAAAAGAAGTAGTTATTTTCTCTTCAGATTAATTTACTTCATTTTTCATTACAGTTCTGTCTATATTCTATGATTTTCAGAAATCTATTATTCATGATAGACGTGTGTTATTTATAATTAAAAGTCTACATAACATATTTTTAAATTTTCAAAAAGTCATTCTTGTAAAAAAAATAATGTACAATACAACTCAATTAATTTCTGCACTTCATTCTCTAAAGGAAGTAATTATTGTCTCTTCAGATTAATTTACTTGATTGTCCTTTGCAAGAGCGATGGCGTGCTTCCAACTCGTTACGAACACGCAAAATCAATCGGAATCTGCTAAAAGAAGATACTCTGCTATCGCTCTTTCTGATCTGCTATAGAATTCCTGCTCTGTGCCAGGGAATTACTCAAAGTGGGATCCTGATTGGCTGATTAACTTCTTTCAGTGGGTAATAAATATCGAATAGAATCTATATATCGATGTGCCATCGATTATTCAATTGTTGATATATAAAACCGGGGATCTTTTAGGAGTAGTTGTAATTAAATACGGCTTCAAGCATGTTATTGGTTTCGGTTTTTATTGCAATGGTATAAGCAATTTGTCAGAAAAAATTATTCTAGTTACCTGACAATAATGTTAAATCTTATTTTTGGTATAATTAAATAGAACCTGTTTAGAAAAAAAAATCTGAAAGATACGTTTTAGAATGTTAAGCGAATTGTACTATGTAACTTTTTTAATTAACATTTTTACTTAAATTTCAGTTAAACCTTTTTTTACATGGAATATTTTACAAATATTTTACTTTTAAAGTTAGTTAATGCAAGTTATTATTCAATTTCTATCAATTCAGCGTAATTATTATTTTAAATAGTCAAAAGTATTCATTAAATAAACATTTCTTTAAATATTAAATTAGTTATACAACACAAAATGCAAATATTATTGTAATCTATTTTGGTACTTCATTAAATATCCAATAACAGATCCGTACACTCAATACTTAGAATGAACCAATTGTTTTATTATACTAGTAAGTTAATATTTTTTTTTCATGCATTTTTGCTCCTACACTAGTATATTAATATTTAGTATATTATTTTAAAATATACGATAGTATTTATAACGGTTATTTCAAATTACTGAGGAATTATAATATTAAGGATTGAATAAAATTCCAGAGTAAAGAATAATTTGAACTTTTATGAAATGATTTTTAATATAATATATTCTGTTTATTAAACAAAAAATATTAAAATAATGTACGTAGTTCCATCTTGACGAATAACAGATTAAGATACACG